TTTGAAATTAATACTGATTCTAATAACAAATAAAATAACTTTTCTTCAATCCTCTATGTTAAAATTGAATTTTATCTACTCTTTTCTTCATGTTAAAATGAAATTGTATCGTCTAGATGATAAAAAATACATCCATTGTTGTTTATCTGCGGTTGTTAGTTGCTAACGATCTTTGACATTAGATTTCATTGTTGAATTTTACTTTGACATTTATAAATATCGACCAAATTAACTACAAAATTAGTGAGGATTGAATAAAATTTTATATTGTACACGACGATAAAATTTTCATTATCTTTTCGAGCATATTATTAAAATTATTATTAAAATTCAATTTTATCGTCTTGTATAATAAATAACTATTTTCTCTCAATGTTGTGGAGTTTCGAAATTAACAAAAAATGTAAATTCGTTGGTTAATTTTTTATTAATTCCCTAGCTCCACGACAACTTTGAGCAAAAAAATTAAAAAGAGAATAAGAAACTGCAATTATGAGAAACATTACCTTAATTTTAAAAAAACAACATATTCTAAAAAAATTTATTTTATACCTACATTTGGATTTTTACATACCAGATGAAAAAAATAGTATGGAACCAAACGTTTTTTGCTTAAACTATTTATTTATTTTTTTGAAAGACGATTTGATGAATGATAAAGTACTATACTATATTTTTTTTTTTGAGTTCCACAAAATTTTTAATTTTTTTAAATGGCAACCTACTACAAAACCATTTTTTTCTCATGAAGGTTATGATCTAAAGATTACAACTATCTACTTTATGTTTAATTAAAAAAAATACATAAATTGCAATTTTGACAAAAAAAATCGCATAACTCAAAAACAAAACAAAATTTCGTTCTCAAAATACGCTCACATTTTTTATTTTACTTTAATTTATTTTAATTATTATTTTCTGATGGCAAATGATTAAAAAAAATCGCTTGGTTCCATACTTTAACTTACTGTATATTAATTACATAATTATGTATTTGGAAACTCAAATTTAGAATTTTTCTTGAGAAAAATCAGAATTTTGTGGAAAATTAGTATGTATTTAGAAAAATTTCGAAACTGAAATTTGTTTGTTTTAACAATGATTTCTCCAGTAAAACTATAATTATTTGTATTATAAAGAAGAAAAGTATATCTTTTCTAGAAATTACTACCCCAAACTTATCGAAAACAATAACCACCCAGGGAGGAAAAGACACTTCCACCAGTGTCATACATACAATTTTTCCGACGATCCAGCGGAAAAAACTAACAATTTTTCCTAATATCCCAGTTTTGCCATTAAATCAGAGGAATGAGGTAAAACTTTTACCTCATCCTTGAGAGGTTACATATACTCATTTTTATTGTAATTTTGACAAATGAGAAAAAAATGACTTTCTGTTGGGGTCATAGGAAATAATTTTTTTCACGGCTTTTGTACGCCACGCGTAATTTCAGCGCGTGTTTTATTTTACGAAAGTAGATCCTGCTTAAATGCTTTGGGTTCATCCGAGTTAATGAATATCGTGACTTCTTTCACTTTCCCAATTAGCGCAAAATTAATAAACCTGGCCACTCTTACACTTTGGTGAAAAATTCTTAGCACCGACCCCATTACAAGAAGCGTCCAATTAAAAACAATTTCAGCAAGTAGCGGCACCTGAAGGCTGTCTGAAAGCTCGTAATTAATTACCGGTAATCAGTTCAGTCCCGTCTCGAGTCGCGCAACCCATGGTCGAGTTGATCTTCATAAAGCCGAGATAACCCATGGTAGATATCTCCCAACCCATGACCGGAACGGCGTTGCGGTTGAAATTCAATTGTATGACCATCCATCGGTCCGGTCCAGTAGGCCGCGTCCGTTGCCCGCTCACTTTGATTGAGTTTTTATGAAGAAGCACTGGTAGTTTTTGTGAGAACAAGTCCGTGTGAATTTTCGAATTTAATTTCGAATTTTCAAATCTTTTACAATAGCGTCACGAATCGACCATCTAACAATTTCGGACCGATTCGATGTATATCAAACTTACTTATGGAGGCTTCACGCTGCCACAATGCTACAGATGTGTTCGCGCGTAAACTCTTGTACGTGATGGCGAAGAAGCTCAAAACGTGACCGAAGGCCTTTGAGTATCGGCGACCGGACTACAGAACGCTTATGTAATGTCGTAACCGGAGCTTTGTGCACAAAAGAACCACGGGATTCCGGTCGATGGGACTGATAACATTACTAAACATCGGCTCGAAAGCGTTTTTTACAAAGTCGCAAACGCAAAAATTGAAATAACCGCGCGAGCTTAGATTAAGTCATAAATCTCGCCCTGAAAAGTTGTAATTTCATGTCGGGAGTAAATAATTGCAAACTCCTGAAAAATCGAGATTTTTATGTAATTAGTTAGCTACTGATGAAGTTCTTTATTAACTCGGGTGTTAATGATACAGGCTGAAAAAAGTATTTGCGAATCTTGCAACATCACCTTCTTTATGTATTAATTTCAATTCAATTAAATTATGCAGCCAGAACTCGCGTCCCAGAGAAAAATGTAAGGTAAGATACAAGGAACAGGGAAAAAATGTTAAAAAAATTATATCTATAAAAATTTCGAAGTTATGAGAGCTTAAATTTTGCACTTTGACTCTATTTATTTCTGTTGGAAAAATAATTTTCCAAGTTTTTTTGCTACAGGCAAGAAAACAAGGAAGCTATGTCCTAAATTATAACTCTGTTTAGTGTTATTTGTGTCTTTTATTGGCAAAATCATCAGTATCATTAAACAGAATAAAAAAATGTTAAATGACAAAAAGTGTCAAAGTTTTTTGACAGAGGGTTATCATATCTAACATAAAATTTGTCTCTAGGGCGCGAGTTTTGACACACCCTGTATGTAAATAGAGCATTTTTTTAAACGGCCACGTTGGATATCTCAGAAAATTAACAAAAATTAGAAAGTTTATAATTTTTTGATATGTTCCCATTTCCCTTTAGGGTATGGGGTAAATAGGAACGTCAATGTTTTTTATTTTTGTTTATATTTTTATTAAAAATTAGATTTTTAAAAATTTGTTTATGACAGCTAAGAATATAAATAAACAAAGTTTATGTAGCAATAAAAGTTGATTTCATTTATAACTTTTTTTATTATTTTTGAGCTTTAGAAGTTAAGTGTTCCCAATTCCCCCACTCTCCCCTACTGTCAATCAACGCAGACGACGTTTCACAGTTATTCTTGCATTTTTATAGTAATTTGTTTTACTAGATCTTTTTCTGCGTACACATAAATGAAATATACACAAAAGTCAAACAGAACACAGCACAAATTCTTGGTCAAACTACCTTCCATTTGAGGTATCACAATTTTGAAGAAGTTGTTTGTATTACAAAGGGTTTTTTTTTTCAAAAGTACAGTAAAGGGTGTCCCCCTGTAAATAAAAATTGACCTGTTTTGGGATTTTCTATTTTTTTTACCTTATGAGATATCCAGGGAGTTCGTTTTAATTTCCAGTTTTAATTAATTTTTATTAAAAACAATACCAAATTTTTCCTTAGACCTTTTTTTCATGTTATGCCTGAGTACCTTAATTTTTTTCAGGCACGTTTAAACACAGCAGGTGAATAAAGTTTTGTCCAAACTCCCCAAAATATCTTTTTTTAATTAAACTGAAATTTTGAAATGTATATCTAACTTTATTAGGAAAAAGAAAGTTTGTTTTGATCTTTCAATTTTTATGTACATACAATAAAATTTAAAAACCATTTCACTAAAAAATTACAATGCTTGTTTTTTACATCAACTGTTTTGGCCAAAAACTACGTCAAAAAACAAGTACTTAGTTCAAAAATAACAATATTTCTGATTTTTCTAGACTGATTTTTGATTTGTTAAGTTGGAGTTGTAATAAATCTAATAAAACTGAAGAAAATTTATGAGCGATCAAAATTTTTAACACTGCTCATCATGTCCCGATTTAATGCCAAATACTATAAATTTTGAAAAACTCCCACCTTGATAGAGCTCTTTGGTGAAATAATTTTATGATTCTACCATAATTTATAAGAAATTAAGTACTTCAATGTCAAAATATAACTATAGGCAAAACTTAAATTGTAACTAATTATGCAAAAGTTAGAAAACGAAAGTAAACGTTTTTATACAATTTTAGTTTAATTATAAAAAGGTTTTTAGGGATGCGTATAAAACATGAGTCACTTGGTACAGTGTAAAAAACAAACTTTTTCTGTTTGTTTTCTCGTTGGTGTAAAAAGAATCACGTTTTCTATCAAACAAACCTAGAGAGTTTTTACGCTACTTGGAGATGTTATTTAGTGAAATTGCTTGTCACAAGCAGGTGTGCAAAAAAGAGAAAATTTCTCTGAAACGACACTGAAGATTGTTTAAAAATCCTTGCATATTTCGGGTTGCTTTACAATTCGCAATAATAGCGGTAAAACGTGCGCATTTCCTGGCATCACTCAGCACACAGGAGCCGAAGTATCATGATTACATATTTAGTCCATACTTTATGATCTACTGTATAAGGATGATTATAGCATTTCACTCGAGCGTAGAGTGAAAGGAGAGTTAATTTAATGATTTGTACGAAGGTGCTAGTTAAAACGTATAAATAATAATGAATCACGGACTGACCCTTGGGGATTTTAATTTACTCCTTCCTAGCGATTTTCGCGGAGACTTCAACGTGAGCGCACGGCACAAAATCCGTACAACTAACAAGTTTCAAATGAATTTCGGCACGAAACGTTGAATTTAATTAAAATTCTAATTAGATCGAATTAACTAATTGGAATAATGGAAGAGTCGGATTTCGTTGACTGTGAATTATACGGTTTTAAATTAAGTTAATGAATAGGAGCGGTGATTGATGACTGGGATGATTAATTCGTAGTGGGTAAACAAAAATCAACGGCAATTGCAGCCGGTTCTTGTTACTTGAGATGAGCTAATCATTTCTGAGTAAAATATCGAATTTCTTGTCACTCACCTGAGCATATTCTGCGCAAATATCTATACTTGATACGAAATTGCACACATCGTCCACTGTCCAACTGGCCACATCGTCGTGAAGTCGCGGACTTTCCGATTGGGCCCTTTTGGACACAGTACTAGGACTACTGGACGAGGAGGTCTTCATCCTAGGCCGTTTCAGGGGCGGCGCAGCCGCCGACAAGTCCAACGGGGACGAAGCGTCCTGTCTTTTCACACTTTTGAGCAGTCCTTGCAGTTCGGCCTCTTTGGCAGTCCGCACCATCGCCAGCAAGGTCTGCGTCGTGGACATATCAATCAACGGGGGAAACATGGAGGAGTTGGCGAAAGGGTTAAGAAGGGAGCTAAAATCGGTCTTTTTCTCCGCTTCTTTGGGAAGTCTGGGGAGGAGATTGGGGAAATTCGACTTGAACCGGGGGTCCAACGGCGGCGGAAAGCCGTTTCGAGCCGCACTGAAATAACTACGAAAAATTTCAGTCGTAATCACAACCAAAATCTTACTCATTGGGGTTGGCGTTGTTGTACTTGGCGGCGAGACTCCGCATGAAATCGCTGTAATTCCGGCCCGAGACCGGGGGTAGGGGGTGGCTGTCGGCCGCTGGGGGGGTGTCAGGGTGCGAGTTGGACGAAGGTGTGACTGATCGCGAGCGACTGGAAATGTCCGGAGTCCCCGGACTGAGTCGCTCGTTTTTGACGTGGTTGTTGTTGTTGTGGATGGGGTAGTCGGGGGTCGAGGTGGGGCCGTTGTTGTTGGTGATTGTTCGCTCCATTCGGCGTTTCTTCACCAACTTGGTGGCTTGTAATTGAGGACTGCTATCGATGGCTTCCGTTGCGGTCTCGCCTGGAATCAACACCAGAAGATACGTTAGATGGGCGGTTACGTATCGCCTTTTAATTTATTAGATACTTATAATTACGGGTTGTACCGATGGTAAAAGAAAAACTCGATATGATCAAGGACGTGATTGCTATTGAGGAATTCTAGTTTGGTTGTGATGGGAGCTACTGTAGACACGCCAATGGCTTGTAGTGGAACGGACAATAAAATAATGACCGAGAGAGAGCTTTGGGAGGTCATGTTCGCCACAGAGGCAATTCAATCAAAATAAAAATAAAATATCTCGAACTGTTTATTTGTAAGCATCTCAATTTTTAACAAATAGAAAATTCCTAAAATTTTCAGTTATTTTTCCACAATTCGAGAAATTGAAAATACATTAATTAAAAATGTTAAAAAAAAATCTTAGAAGAAAGTAAGAAAAAAATAAGTATGTTGGGAAATATGTATTTGTAGTAAACGAGTTTTTTATTATTTCACGGATCAATAACTACTTGGAAATGACGTTTCAGGATGAGATTCAGCTCTTATTCACTACTATTTTTTAATGATATTTCGAAAAATATTTTTAAATTTCAGTCTTCACTAATAACAAAAAAACCTTCATTGTAGGTACTTAAGCTTTAACAAATCAAGAAAATACCAAAACTACCAAAGTAATTTTTTTAGAATCCAGATAAAAATTAGAGAAAAAAACATCAATTTTCACTAATATGTGATTTTTTTTACTTTCTATATACTTTGTACAAACACTGTGTCCCCGGATAGGTGAAAGGACTCTTGTAAAAGATAAAAAGTATCGATTTAAATTTTTATTTTTTGAGGTTCAGCCCTGCTTGATTAAAAATTAATTTCTAACATAATTTTAGTTTTGAAAAATCAATTAAGTATGCTTAAAAAATTTAAAAAAAAATATTTTTCTGTTCAGTAAAATGCCTTTTATGTAGCAAATACAACAAAAATTTATTAAAAAAAGTCGTTTAGAATCAACATTTAGGCCCCTATACCAAATTTCAAAATTATCGGTCTACTATGACTTTTATTTTTTTTAACATAATTTTTTAGAAACGTCAAAAAATGTTTGGTGCAATAATCTAAATGTAAATTTATTTTATTCGTAATAAAAGAACTGTTAAAAATAAAATTCTTTAATTTGTGAAATAATAGATATAGAGTGCCCATTTTATCTGTTCCCTCCTTAAACTTCATAAATAAGCAACCATTTAATTTCTTAATTTCTTACTGTTGTTCTCATTGTTATACATTTGAGTTTTGAATTTAATTTTTTTTTGAAGTTTTCGATAGTCAAGCACCGACTATGATTATTCAATTTAGAATAGTTAATACTTTACACAAAATAATTTATGAAATGAATAATATGTTCGCTATTTTTGCTCCTTCAGGCGGGAACAGATAGAATGGGCACCCTGTATAAAAAAATTAAAAATCAAAGTTGGCCGATAATTTTGAAGTTTGGTATACGAGCCTAGACATTCATTCTAAACAACTTTTCTCAATAACTTGTTGTCGTATTTGCCATACAAAAGGCACATTACAGAAAAATAGGTTTTTTGAAAATCGCCAAAACATTTATCTTTTTAAATCAAGAATTTTTATCTTTTACAAGAGTCGTTTCACTTATCTGAGGACACACTGTATATATAGATTTCTTATATAGATTTTTATTTAGATTTTTGAAAGTAAAAATGTTTCAAAACACTCTTGTTAGAAAGTCAAAAAATATGCCACTAATAAAGAAAATACATTTTTTGATTAAAAAATTGAAGAAGCTCCTGTTTTTAGAAACTAAAATATGTGTTTTTTTGCTTTCTGATTGGCTTAATTGAGAATAAGAATGTTTTGAAACCTCTTGTTAGAATGCAAGAAATAATGTATGCTTGGGAAATATTTATTTGTAACAAGTTTTTTATGCTTTACGGATCAGTAAGTATTTGGAGACCAGAAAACAGGTTGTTATTTGGCAAAAATCTCGTTGATCGAGTCCGAAACCGAATATTTGGTTCGTTTATGATTAATCACCCCAGGTAGGAAGGCCGCCATCTGATACTTTTGGTCGCCTGCTCCGGTTTTGTTTTATGTCTGAGTTATTGTGCCGTTTGTGGTAACAAAACGATGTAATTTGTCATGAGGTTGGAACGCAGTAGCGACTTTTAAAATGGATATCTTTTTGTACTTGTGTAGATAATGAGAGCGTTAAAAATAATTAACCTCGTTTAATAAATGACAGCGGTTTTAATTAATTAATTTTATGTTGAACGTAAATCACGATTTTGTTATTGTTTAAGGTTTGTTGCACCAACATTAAATTGGTTAGCGTAATAATCAGCAAATATTTAATGACAGTTTGTGGCTACGCGACCGGTTTCGGAGGCTTCTGACATCATCAGAGTCGTTTATAAGTCACAAAGGGGAATTTATGGATCTGTATTAAAATTAAATTGTTTTTTTAGTCACAACTTGTGACAAGAATTCGAGGATTTTTTCACACGGTTTGACTTGCTTCTAATTGGTGAAATAAAAATTATTGGAGCTAAAATAGAATTAATTTCTCTTGCTATTTCAACAAATCTCCTTTTAATTGTTTGTAAATTCCATAAATAAAGTTGACATACTTAACACCTTCAGAAAAAACTAACATAGGCCACAGCTATCAAGTTTCAAAATTAGTAAGCGTAGAAATTTTCTAATTTTGTATTCAAAAAACACGAGATTGGAGAGATAATTAAAAAAAAAATACATAATAGTTAGGAATATCAATATTTAACTTGATAACGTCGACAGCTTTTTCTGGAATCGTATTACAAATTTTTGATTGGTTTATCTATTTCTCTCATATTTCTATTCCATGATGTCAACTTTTGACCCATCGTGGGTGATTTTGCCCATTTCCGGTGGTAATTCGTCCTTTCCCAGAACCCACCATCCCCAATGACCCTTCTGGGAAGGGTACCGGCGCATTCTTCCTTCAAAAAAGAATGCCAGGTGAAGCAGGTAGGTGACCTCAACCCCGAGTGAGAAAACGACACTATTCTCGAGGTTTTATTGCCCAATAACTTGAAATTATTTATATAACGCCCAATAAAATATGGAAGAGGACTCTATTAAGCTATTGAAAATTTCGTGTGGGAACTACAAGCTTGTAAACGAGAAATAAATCGCGATTTGTTCGATTTCCAACCATCAAAAGCTTGATTAATAATCAGAAAGACCCATGCTGGGCAGAAATCCGCACTTGCGGCGAGAAGAATGGCCGTTATCAATTTTGTAGCGTGAGTATGGGCAGTAAGGATGGGTGACCCAAATCCAACTGTCCTTTTAAAATTTCTTCGAATAACAGTAAAATCACTAAAATCACACCAGTTGTGACACTCAACGACTTATAAATATTAATTCGCCGATTCGCTTGTTTTTAAATAAGTTAACACCAGATTATAGCAATAACATTCATCTAAATTTGGACGCGGACTATTGTTTTACAGCCACGCGTTTATTAAAATTAACATCGAAACGATTAATTCGCAATAAAACCAACACGTTATAACTCAATTCAATCACGGAACTACAACTCTATTTTCGGAGGAATTTCCCAGAAAAAAGATATTTTTTCTTATCGGAAATACATCTAGAGAGGGTGGACAGGTGAACAAGCTAATCGGCTTGGGGATTTTTCGCTGAAAATTTCTCCTATTGTGAGCAGGGGCGGAGGATTGAGGCTTAACATAAGTTTAGAGGTTTTACGGGGATTGGGACAGTGGGGGGTTGTCAGGTGCCGTCATTGTTCTTTTAAATATGGATAATAATGTCCCATCCAGGGTATTTATTTTATGGGCCAGAAAGTCAAGTTTCATATTTCAAAGTTTAAGCCACAACATTATCAAATAAAAATATATTTCAGTTTATCTGCGCACCCGAGAAGTTAAATCACTCACTTCTTGCTTTATTTACTTAAAACTTGATATTTACATTTCAACACATAATTTCTCTTTTTTTATTCGCAAGAAGAACCATTTTTTAGTAAAGAATGCGTTTAGTGACAAAAATTGCTCCGTTAGTTGGGCAGTAACCATGAAATTAGATCATTTTTTGAACTAGAATCCTGTGGTTACTTTGTATGAAACATTTTTAAAGCAAGTCTCTATTACATTATTTTATTTAAAAAAAATTTTTTTAAGGTATTTAAGAAAAAAAATATTAATGAGAATAACAGTGCCCAACATTTTTCTTTCTTTTGGATAAAAGAGAGTGAATTTTATGTTTTTAAGATTCCAAAGGAATTATTTCAATACCGAGTGATTTTATTTAATAGTTGTGCAGAAATTAGGTGATAGTACAGGTCTAAAAAATTTAAAATAACTCAACTTGCATTATACGAGTACGAATGTTTAGATATTATTTTCAAGATATGAAAGCAACCTTCATTTTAGCGTCAGAATATTCGTCAAAAAAATGCAGTAGAAACGGAGTTTCACCTCTTTCTTTCAAAGTTTACATTGTTAGTCGGTGACATTTGAGGTAATAAATTCGGTGGCATCTTCGACAAAAAAATTGATGCAAAAATTTTACCTCAACAATTATTTTTTATTATCAGGACACTTCTCTTTCTGAAGCTGTTTTTACTACTTTTAACTCTTCTTAAAACAATGATTTTGAAAAACTAACCTCAGAGATTGAATTTGTTTACAATTTTTTCTTGGTAAAAGTTGCGTGCCGAATTGAAATTGTTCGACGACTAAACCTCTCTACATCTCAGAAATTATAAATTTTCAAATAAGACAACTTGAGTTATTTTCGCATCTTTTCTGCTATATTATCACCTCCCAAAACTTTTGCACAAATATTAAAATTACCCTGTATTTCACTTTTTTATTCTGAAAAGTTCGGCTAAAGTAATTATACAGTGTGTGTCCGAATGTGCGCCCCAAAGAAAAATTTCAAGTAAGATAATATACCAGGAACATGAAAAAAATGTTTAAAAAATTCTA